GAAAGGTTCTTGAGATTCTTTTTCTCTTCCCAGGGTCTCTGGAGTACTTCCCTTTACCAGGAATGCTTTCTCTAAATCATAGCAAGTTTCTTGGTTTATAAAAGACTTTGCCCACCAAGTGAAATTTTCCATGCATGGGTTGGTAGTAAGTGTCACGTCAGTACATCCAGTTATTCTAAATTCTGAGCACCTAGGAGGACCACTCCTATCCATGGAGATCTGGAATGGCTTGTGGGTGCTCTGCCTGCTGAGACCGCATGGTTCATACGGAAGTGAAGTTTAATTTGCTGGTGTAAACTAAGAAAGAGTCCAACAGGACGAGCAAGGAGAAAGCTGAGCGAAGAGCACCCAAGGCCTGTGCAGGGAGGAGGCTCTGAGCCATCGGGTACAAAACACTCTCTGCTGTTGGCCCTAAACCGCGTAATTCTGTAATCCTTTTGAGAAAGGACTTTAAAAGAAGAGTAGCCTGAGTGATGGAGATATCCACATGCAGAGAACCCAGACCAGTTCTGTCTTTTGTCCTCCAAACTCCTGTCAGACATCACGTGTTCATGGAAATGTATTTAGCGATTGATCTCGATTTTAAGGCACTTCTCAGAAAACAGTTGCTGGCATTCTAAAAATCTATTTGTCACTCTTTCATTCTTTAAAAAAAAATCTTTCCTATCACTGTTCCTTAAAAGTATTTGAGGCAGCTAAGTTTATTGTACTCCGTGTTGTATGGAATTTGGAAAACCTTTTCCCGGGTCGGAAGGTTGGGCCTGCTGTCTGTCCTGCACACTCCCTTTCGGTACTCCCGAGCAGGTGATTCTCTTTATAGCTGCGACAGTTCCCAGGACTCGGTCCTGTCACCCACATAGGCAGAATGTCTGCCCCCTCCTCGGAGTGCAGTCCCTCTGTCACAGCTCTTCAGGGAGAGAAGCGTTCTCTCCTGCTTTGCCCAGGAGCTGGTGTCCTCTCCACCAAGCCAGGAGCACTTTCGGGACTGCTTGCTTGTCGGGTGCTCCAGCTAAGTTTTTTCGATTGAGCACCTCCCTCTTTTAGAAGGCAGAGGAGTGGCAAGGAGTCGTAGACAGGCCTCACACCACACAGATTCTGCTGCAGATAGAAGAGAACATTTCTCCTCCATGGGGAAGCCCTTCAGCATCTCTAGGCAATGCTGGTGAAGACACAGAACTGTGGTGTGGGGCCCGGGCCCCAGGGATTATCTTCTACCTGGAAACTCACTCGTCTTCTGGAAATTTGTAAATTGGATGCTTGAACTGCAGCAGAATTCTTGCCAAGTGGGGTGAGACTAATAACGCAATACTAAGGAATTTGGCATGTTTTCAGCATAAAAACTGACCTCTACAAAGATGAGAGTAAAGCATGGTATCCCTCACTTCTACACCACTGGGGAAAAGGTGATTGGAGTGTGAGAGCTCTAACGTTATCAGTGGATGAATCATAATTTGATGTTACTGTTGGAAGGTGAACAAAACAGAATGTGGGACCTAGTTGAAGGAATTGGGTGGTAGAACATAACGTTAGTTCTTCCCAGTCTCCAGAAAATGGGAAAAGGGGGCCCCAAAGGGCCCCCAAAGGAGTACGACAGATTGAGGAAGCAACAGAGCCAAATGCACATCGCCAGAGGACAGCAGAAGAAGAGAGGTCCCTGTGGGTTTGGTCACCACATCAGATTGCCAGAGGGTCTTGATTATTGTCTGTAAATGGATTTATTTTTGAAGAATTTCTTAGAGCTGAAAAGAAGTTGTAGAGAGGGATTGAAGTAGGCTTTTTCAAACATGTTCCACAGGACCCTTGGTTTCGGAACTCTGGTCACAGTGAGGTTAGAGTTTAGGCTGTTGGTCTATGAGCTGTGATGTGATGTGATGCGTTTTTAGACTAAAGTTGCTTGTAGGGTACACGTCCACTGTCACCCCCTTCATTGGTTTCCAATTGCAATTAAGAACCTCATCAGAAAGCAAGTGCTTTGCCAACTTCCAGTTGATTAAGAAATTCTTGTATTTTGTTGTCCGCAGAAACCAGGTAGACACAACACCGAAGAGTTTGACACAAATTACCTACGTTTTCACCCACCGTCTTGTCATCCTAATACTGACGCAGTAATTTAGAACTTTCCCGTCACATCCACACTACCAACCCAAACCAGTAATCTGTTTTTTAAATGTAGATTTGGTGTTATAAACGTGACCGTTTAAATAGAATCTTGCAGTTAAAAAATGACGTCAGTGTAGTTAGTTCGTGGCTTCAAGAGTCTGAACATCTTAAGCAACGTCCAGACTTGGAGCTGTGTGAAACTCAGCCACTTTCTTTCTTAGTCTCTGCAGCACCTTGTGAAGCTGCCCAGTATTGTTGGTGGGTTTTCCAACAGGAAGTGAAAGGTTTGGTGTGCGAATGCCCCTGCTGTGCGTTGGTGGCCAGTACTTCCTGTTCCTAACAGATGGGAAGGGCGGGGGGGGGGCAGTCCTTCCTCAAAGACTCCTTCCTCCCACCTGCTGTGCTGCTGGAGTACCACGGCATGGAGGGATGGAGCTTTGCACGGGACCAGGTCTCATTCCCGCCCTCTGCATGGTGGCTCAGAGCATCGGCCCAGCCTTTGCTCGAACACCATGGAAGCGGCTCTTGGAAGGACCAGCAGCTGCCTCCCCTGTGCTTCTTGCCCATGCATCTGTGGCCCCTGGACAGCTGGTGCACGACCTGAGTCTGTGCTCTCAGTTTTGTGCTCATGCCCTGTGCCATTGGACACCTGGTACATTGGATGGCCCAGTGCCTGCCTCTGCCATCTGCAGCAGCCCTGAGGGAGGGGAAGCTGGTCGGCTGGTTCCCTCCTCTACCTCTCATGAGCTCTCTATCAGCCACGAGCACGGCCCCGGAGGCCCCTCACAGATATGGCCACTTCTTGCACCATCTGCTCTGGTGTGGTGCGTGGGCCGGAGCGCCAGCCCTGGGAGAGAGCATCCCTCCTAAGCCAGAAAGACTTTTACTGTGTGCTTGTCTCCTTTCGTCAGTTCCCGAGACACAAGACACTGAGAAATATGCTCTTAGCAGTGGGGTGGGAAACAGCCAGTTCCCCATTGTCTGGGCTGCTTGTCTAATTGGCGATTGCCCTTGCTTTTTGATTCTGTTTCTCTTTTTACTCTTGGATCGAGGGCAAACATAGCCAAGAAAGGATATGCAAAGGCCTATCTTTTGCTCTAGTTAAGAACAATTCTAGCCTGGTGTGGTGGTATATGCCTATAATCCCAGCTGCTTGGGAGGCTGAGGCAGGAGGATGGCCCCAATAAGGCCAGCCTGGGCAATTTATCAAGACTGACTTAAAATAAGTAACAAGCTAGGGATGTAGCTCAGTGGTAGAGTGCTTGCCTAGCATGCATGAGGCCCAGGGCCCTTGGTTCCATCCCCAGCACTGCCAAAATTTTTTTTTTTAGAGTTGTGGTCAGGAGGTATTGAGGAATTAATGACTGGAACCTAAGGTTAGATTTGGGCGTGATCAGTGGATTATGCTCCTCACTCGTGAGCAGAAACTTTGAATAGTCAAACCTTGCTATTCTTGCCCAGGAATATATGTATCTTTAGCAGAAGGAAAGAGAAGACTTCCACTGGTTTATCTGTGAAAGACTTTGCTTGCAGACTGAAGGAGCTGTCATCTTCTAGCAGTGTATTCTAGCAGAGAATACTAGGGTCAGATGGCTCTGGTTTCTGTGCCAGCTCTTCCATATCAGACTGTGATGTGGGAAAATTACTTCTCTGGAGCCTGGATTTCTTGCCTGCCAGAGGGTTGTGCTAATTGTCAGAGCTGTTGAAGGGATTAGAGTGGATCGCGTGAATGAATGGCCAGCACGAGCCCCTGCCAAAAGCAGGCAGGTAGTAGGGGCTTGATCTCTTTGGAGAGGAAGTGGGCCGTAGGGTCTCTTTCTAGCCAGATCACTTTGCCAAGCTCCTTGGCCTCTCGCTGCCTGGGTCCTCAGCTCTGATTTGGGGTGATGATGGCCGTGATAACACTGCCTCCCCCAAGGATGCTGCGAGGAGTTAGTGCATCCCAAGCCCAGGGAGCATGTAGCTCAGTGCATCTCCACAGTGCCAGCTGTCTGTACCCTGTGTATCTTCTGCCCCTTCAATTGTTCTGGAAAGTGTGTACAAAAGACACTTCCAGGAGATATGTGTTTGGGGAAAGGATAGTTTTCTTGTCAGTAGGATTTGCTGTCTCCTATGTATTTCTCTGTACAAAAACGTGCTGCGTGCAAAGGGTGACTGTCCCACATCGGGCTGTGGCCCAGGACCAGGGAGGGCGGGGATAGCAGGGATGACTCCTGACGAAGAATGGAGTTTGGTAGCATTCACAGATGAGTAAGTAGAGTGCGACTGCTGGTGAAGAACGCATTCCAGACCTCAGAGAATGAAAAACAGCAGCCTACAGCAGGGTCCCAAACTCGAGTGTGAGCTCTTGGCTCTGCTGAAGTGTCAGCTTCACGAGGCAGGGACAGGCAGGCAGACAGACAGACTGACGGACTGAGATTCATCCATGAGTCCCATGCCACTCCACAAGCCTCTACACCCCACATAGGGGCCAGAAACGGTGCCTTTGAGTAGTAAGTCTGAAGTCACTTGCTGTACCCTAAATGGAAGAATAACTTTTCATGTCACTCTGCTTGAGCTGGTGCCACATCTACCCAGCACTGCTGTGAAATTGTTGATTGATTAACTGATCACACACACACACACACACACACACACACACACGCCCCACTTTCTAGTTAGAAAATGCAACCAATAAGATGGGTCATATCTCTCTACCAGAGTTCTGAATGACAGTTGTTGTGATGATTTTGGTGCTGGAGATTAAGCCCAGCACCCTGTGCGTGCTAAGTGTGTGCTCTGCCACCAGCCCTGTGGTCAGTTTAGTCTGAGTAGCAGACAGGAAAAAAAGAAAACAACAAACCGGAAATGCTGATACGAGTCTCCAGTCTCAAGTTTGTGTCTCTTCTTTCTCTCTGCAGCTCCGGAAGTTCTTGCCCAGAAACCTTACAGTAAAGCTGTTGACTGCTGGTCCATTGGGGTGATTGCCTACATCTTGTAAGTAGTGCTTGCGCCTTGGCTTCTCCGTACCCGCCTTTGTTGTGGCAAAATAGACGTAACACAGAATTTATGGTTTCACTCACAGAAAGGTACCCTGCAGTGGCAGTAAGCATATTCCTGGTGATGCACCAGTGTAGCCACTAGTCGTTTCTGAGGCCTCTAGCGTCTCCAACTGAAACTTTGTACCTGTTCACCAAGACTCCCCTCCCCTCTGTGCTCCTGCTCACCTCCGTCCGCTTTGTCCCTTGCTGCTGACGACCCGAGGCGCCTCCCTTAAGTGGACTCGCACAGTAGTTTTCCTCATGTGGCTCCCTGGCCTCACTTAGCACCGTGTCCTCCAGGGGTTTCTGTGTCGGAATCGCCTCCCTTCCCGGGCGAATCTGTGTCTCCCCACATGTGTGAGCCGCACTTGGTTTACCCCTTCACCCCTCCCTGGGCCTTTGTCCTGCTTCTATCTCGTGGCAGTTTGTTTCACCACGATTGTGAATAATGCTGTTGTGAACACGAGTGTGCAGATATCTCTCGGAAGCTCTGCTTTCAGCTCTTTGGGTGATGTAAATCTCGGAGCAGCATTGCTGGGTCAGATGATAATTCTGTGCTTAACTTTGGAGGAACTGCGCAGTTTCTATAGCAACAGCTTAAAGTCACATCCCCAGTAGTAATGCACAGGCCTCCAGTTTGTCTACATACACGCCAAAGCGCACATTTTCCAACGTTTGATAATTCCCATCCTGGGTGGGAATTGATAGTTCATTTTGGTTTTGGTTTGCGTTTCCTTCATACCTATTTATGTCTCATCTCAGCTCTTGCAGGAAGATAAACTACAGTGAAAATACTAGGACATTTCTAAAATAAGTCATAACTAGGCAAAATATAATGAAAATCAAAATTGAGTTTTTTCTCTCTTGGATTCCTCATTTTTTCACCAATTCCTTATCTCCATAACCCAGGAAACAGAGTCCTAGGCCATTGGTTTGTTGCACATGTTTCAAAATCATTCATTTTGTTTTGCCTGAAGCTGTTTTTTACTTGCAATTTCTTTCTGCAGTTAGACTTTCAAATCCTTATCATGCGGTGCACTTTGAGGGGGCTGTTGTGCAGACCAGCTGCTGTGGTGGCTAGAAATTGTGAATACCCTTCCTCATCATCCCCAGGGAAGGCAGTGTCTTCGGGCAAACAGAACCCACCCCTGAACACAAAGAAAAATTGCAGGGATTGTGAGAAAGTTTCTCCTCTGAGAACACTGGTCACAAACCCCTGTCCCATATCGATTTTACCTCGTTAGCTGGCAAGCAAATGGCCTTTCTGCCTTGACATTCACTGGGCAGCTTTGGTAGTTTAACGGGGGGGGGGTGACAGCTCCTGTAGATTCTTGCTGTTATCACAGGAGAATTTTATCCACTGTGATATACCTGGCCCTGAGGGCTCCCATTTATGGAAACAGGTAAAGGGCAGAGGCAGACTCCTGTGTGTAGTACTTTCACTTTCAAAGTGTTGTCGACCACCTCCTGTGTCACTTTCTTCCTTTTGTGGAGGAAATGGGTTACAGACCTTTTGACAATCACATGAAAGGCAGAGACCCTGTATCCTGGTAAACCTCTCTCTCTCTCTCTCTCTCTCACACACACACACACACACACACACACACACACACACACGCACGATGTGGCAAGCCATTTCAGGGGGTTCCTACATGAGTAGACGTTGGACATAGGCCCTGTGTTATTCATCCCGGCTCCCTAAATTCTCAGCTGCAATTCTGATCAGAGGCCTTGCCTCTTGCAGCTTGATTGAAGGCTTTTCTGCCAGGACCAAAGCTGATGTTAATCGTTTTGAGAAGTCTGCCCTAGGCCTTTATATCTCTGAGATTTCAGACTACACTAATGTGTATATAGAGTCGCTTTGGGTTTGTAAAAGACAATTATTATGTCCCTGAAGTCTTAGCTTTGAGGAAGGCATTGGTACATAGGAGGTGCATGTTAACTGATCATTTCTTCAGTTTCTGGGATAAGCAATTTAAAAACTAAGTAATGGTGGTTGGCTGAGTCCTTAGGCTGCTAGAACAAAATCCCATATGGTGGGGGATTCATAGCTCTCGTTCTGGGGGCTGGGAAGTTCAAGGCGCAAGCGTTTTTAGGGCCTGGTCAGGGCCTCCTCCCTGGCTGGCCGACGGCCGCCTTCTTGCTGAGTCCCGCCGTGGCAGACAGTGCACAAGACTACGCTCTCCGGTATCTTTTCTGAGCCAGTCACCAGCCCAGGACTGTCGTATGGGCGCTGAGCCATTGCCATCCTTTCACCTTCAGCGCCTGTAACAATGCCCGAGATGGAGAGAGTTCTCCAGGAAAGCTGGTTGCTGGCCCTGCAGATGGTAAATTTGAGGCCAGGGTCTGTGTGTGCAGGAGTTTGTGGGATGAAGCTACGGTTCAGGACATGGGCACTGGGGAGAGGGGCACCACTAGCGGTCTGCCTTGGTGTTTTGATGAGAACAACATAAGCAAAGAGGAGAGACAGAGTGTGTACCCTGCAGAGGGAGGCAGGCCCGGGACAGAGGTGCCGCAGTGCCTGCAGGGCTGACAGAGACTGAAGATTCCCGGGCTGGTGAGGGTGGCATGAGGATGGCCGTGTTCAGAGGAAGCTCCGGGCTTGCGGCCTCCCCGTGAGCCTCCAGTCCTGGGCCGTCCCTCTCCATGCTGCGGAATATGAGCAAAGCAGCCGAGCAGCTACGCCGGGGTCTGGCACCGAGCTCCTCCTCCTCCCTCTGCACTGGGACGGAGACCAGGTCAGCCGCTGCGGCTTTTGGAGAGCAGCACTGTTACTTCCACTCAGTGAGCCTGTCTCCCTGAGGTCCCAGCGGGAGTGGCTGGGCCACAGCACCGCCTTCTCCTGTCCACGCACCTGGGGCGTTCCTCACTTCGCCGGTGCAGACACTTGTTAAACTGACTCTTTTGTCTTCACTCATTTCTCTGTTTTCCATCATCCGAAGGAGAAATCAGTTTTCCTACCGAGGGTATAATTAAGACACACACACTGAATGGGGCTTCATCCCGACAGAGCACTTCTTTGGGGGATTGGGGTTTGCAAAATACATCTTTAAGCTCCTGGGAAACACGACAGAGTGTGTTGAAGTCTAACACAATGGGCTTGGCTCGGCGAAGCAGCACCGGTTCCAAGGAATGGATTTCTCCACTCAAGATGCAGGGTGGGGTCTCAGGGACCAAACTGTTTTTGTGCTGACAAGTTCTGCCTTCCCTCCCACAACCTCAAGGAGATCGGTTAATGAGCATTGCCCAAAATTAAGCTCATGGCTGCAAAACCCACAGAGAAACACAGTGACTCTTTGGTGATAATGAAACTGAGAAAGACCCCAGGAGGTTCCGCCTCGCACATGGATGCGGACGGACATGGCCTGGCCTCTGCCTCGAAGAAACGCTGCGCAGTATGTACAGGAATGATAGCGTCCTCAGTCTTCCGCATTGTCCACCGTCTAAGTGACGATGTTGATTTGCCTGTGTACACAGCTTAATTGGCCCTGGACCACAGACTGGCTAATCTGCATGTTTTCTGAGACAAAGCATGACCCTGGGATGTTCCTGTCCCTTTGAACAGTTGGCAGCTGACTCTTAATGGAGCACTCATGTCCCAGAGACGGACCACGGTGCCCAGCATCTCGGCAGAGCTCAGCACAGTCTCTGAGCCCCTGGCCCAGGCCTAGGGCATTACAGCGGGTGCTTCCCGCACCCTCCAAGGAGTGTTCATCCCAGCAGCAGCACTGGCTGCTCCGGCAGTGGAGGCAGCAATTGTCCCCTACCCGAGGTCTGCAGCGTGGGGCCGCCCTGAGCCACAGCCTGGACCGGGGCTTTAAAACTTTAGAAACTATGTTAAATCTGTTTACTCACTTTCTCAGATGATCCCCGTGGAAAGGGTTCATACGAACCAGACTCAGAGGAGACTAAAACACCCCATTGTGTCCATTATTAGATCTCACTGAGATTCAGCCCACGAGCCGCTCGGATACAATACGTGTGCACTGAACAGCATTTCTGTCCCCTCTGGGGAATGCTCCAGGGGACCCGACTCAAGCCAGAAGCTCTCACTGGGGACGGCCTCTGGAGTTGGGGGCTCTGTTGTGCCTGTAAAGCTGATGTTCATCTCCAGTCGCTCTGTGTAACAGAGGAAGTTTCTGTCCAGTAGGTTAGCCTTCCTCTTTCTGTCCCAGGGATCACGGCTGGTCAGTTCTCCCCCACACCTGCTCTATGCAGCTCCACAGCCTGGCCACCGTCCGCTGGACAGTCCTGTCACGCTAGCCTCTCTCCGTCTAGTTCAGCATGCTTGGACACAAGACCTGCTTGGCCGTATTCCAGCTTCCTTTGGGGCCCGGTGACCCCGTCCTGCTCCAGGGAAGGGCGGCTAATCCCCTCAAAGCATTCTGGTTCCAAAGAGTGGGCGCTGGAGATGCAGCAGCGAGGCGCACAAATCCTGCCTTTTACCGGGTGGCGGGAGCAGCTCCCTGCTGTGTCCACCGATAACCCGCGGCACTGGATGCAGAGACCCTGGGTACAGAGGGCACCACGAGGCAGAGGCGGGGAGGGAGTGGTTCACATACGTCCCTTCTGCACCCTAAATCACGCGGCTTTGGGCCAGATGGGAAAACATTTTACTCCCTCTGCTCTTGTGATTGTCATCTCCCACGGACCCTCATTTCTGTAGCATTGAAGGCTTCGAAGGCTTCAGGACATTGAGCCTGGAGAACAGAGGGCCGTGACTCGCAGGCTCTCACTTAACCTACTTCCCTGAGCCTAATACACGTCAGATGCTGGGGTGGGATGTGGAGATAGATTCATCACAGGCCTGGCTGGGAGCTGTGGAGGCGCCCGGACAGCAAACACCAGATCACAGCCCAGTCTCGTCACGGCCGGCCGAGGTGGAGCTGCAGAGGATGGGCGACGGCCACTGGTTGGAAGGACAGGCAGGACGCTGCCACAGGAGGCAGGCCAGCG